ATCTCGCGAAAACTGACAAGAAGCAGGTATGGGTACTGAAGAAAGGCACTGATTTCTAGCAACACCTGTGTGTGTGTGTGCCTCTTTCCCTGCCCAAGTTTGGTCACCACCGCCCTGTATCTGGGCAGCGCGTGAGGTGGTGGTTGTCGGTGACAGCTTTTGGCCACCATTTCCTAAAGAAGCCGCAGGTAGCAGAATGGTCGTGGTGGTGGCTGACTAAGGCAGTCCCCTCCTCAGACTCTGAGGACATAGCCTGGAAAACTGTACCTCATTTACTGAAATTGGAGGCTTCTGTCGCATTTGGAAGGCACATTCGATTTGTAGTGGGGCTGTATTTCAGGCTAGATGCTTGGCATTCAGAACGCATTTCTCCTTAGAAATGATGTTTGAAATGGTGGTTGAGTTCTCAAGCCAGTCCGCAAAAAAACCTACTTAATCCTCAGTATGACTTTCATGCCATGAAACTGTGTATTTGTAATAAAGAATAATAATACCCAGGACTCTTGCCAGATGAGTAATTTAAAAACAAAAACAAACCCAGTGTGTTAAGCCCTTTATGTCGAATGCTGGTATTTAGGTGGAAATTGGTTTATTTAGACGGAGATAGCCGAGTCTGAGGCAACTGTAGGGATGCAGGGGATATTTTGAAGGCCTTAGTGTTAGAGGCACTGGCTCCTTGGAATGGATGCATCTAGGGAAATTTGGAATTTTGTCTTATCAGTAAGCTTCCTTAGCAGTGTGTGAGGGGGTTGGGAAGAGGCCATGAAGGGAGATGTCTTCTCATTGTAAGGGGGCAAAAATGAGAATGCCCGAGGGAGGGAGTTGGCAGAAAAAGCCTATCTGACCATGAGAGAGATCTGACCGAAAGGAAATCAGTAGAAGAGTGGAAGAGGAACATGTGGTGGGGGGACAGATCCCACAACTTCAGGAAGTTCCCCTGCGCCAGGCCATGGTGGGCAGGGCCTGGGGCTCCTCAGAGAAGGCCTGGTAGAACACGGACGGCTTGGGATGCGGATGCTTCAAAGGCTCTCCCTGCCCATCACTCTCCTCGTGAAGGGAGTGTGGAACAGAACTGCCTTCGTCCATTTGCTGGTATTACAACCTGAGAATGAGTGATCTAGACAGGAGATAAGTGGTTTTGCTCAGGGCTCCAGATGCCAGAAGTCCCAGAGCACAAAGCTGGCGGCTGCTCGCCTTCCCCTGTGCCACAATGCCAGCCCCCACTAGGGATTATTGGATATTTTTAAAGAAAATTATTTTCCAGGACTTTTTAATATTCCTTTAAAAAAAAAAAGATTTATTTATTTATTTGAGAGGCAGAGACAGAGGTCTTCCAACTGCTGGTTTGCTCCCCAAATGTCTGTGACAGCCGGAGCTGGGCCGATCCAAAGCCAGGAGCCAGGAGCTTCTTCCAGGTCTCTCACAGGGGTGCAGGGGCCCAAGGACTCAGGGCATCTTCCACTGCTTTCCCAGGCCACAGCAGAGAGCTGGACTGGAAGTGGAGCAGCCAGGACTCCAACTGGCACCCACATGGAAGTGGGCACCACAGGTCGAGGCTTAAGCCTGTTACACCACAGCTCCAGCTGTAGACTCTGATGTAAAAATACTAATTGTCGATTTTTAAAATCTGTTGATAAAGTTTCTTTTGTGTTCTCTGGGACATGGTTAAGGTACTTTGAGAACCTTAAAGTAGAATCTTTCAACTTTCCAATGAACTCAGAAGTTACAAACTTTTATTAGTTTCAGGGCATTTTTACTTCCTATTGTAGTCAAATCTTACAATTTCCATAGGTGGAGAGTTTTAGGAAATGTACATAATTAGATCACATTTTAAAAATTACTAGCTTGGGACTAGCATTATGACACAGTGGGTTAAGCTGCCAGTGCTGATGCAAGCATCTCATATTAAAGCACAGGTTTGAGGCTGGCGCCGCGGCTCACTAGGCTAATCCTCCACCTGCGGCGCCGGCACACGGGGTTCTAGTCCCAGTCGGGACTTCCAGCATCTGGAGCCCTGAGCAAAACCAAACTTATCTCCTGTCTAGATCACTCATTCTGTCCCGGTTGCCCCTCTTCCAGGCCAGCTCTCTGCTGTGGCCAGGGAATGCAGTGGAGGATGGCCCAAGTCCCTGGGCCCTGCACCCACATGGGAGACCAGGAAAAGCACCTGGCTCCTGGCTTCGGATCAGCGTGATGCGCTGGCTGCAGCGTGCCAGCCGCGGCAGCCATTGGAGGGTGAACCAATGGAAAAGGAAGACCTTTCTCTCAGTTTCTCTCTCTCACTGTCCACTCTGACTGTCAAAAAAAATAAATAAATAAAAATAAAGCACAGGTTTGAGTCCCAGCTGCTCTGCTTCTGACACAGCTTCCTGCCAATGAGCCCAAGAAGGCAGCTGAAGCTGGCTCAAGTACATGGACCCCTGTCACCGATCTGGGAGACATGGATGGAGTTCCTGGCTCCTGGCTTCTGCCTGGCCCAGCCTAAGCTGTTGCAGGCATTTGGGGGAGTGAATCAGTTTATCTCCCTCTCTTTCTGTCACTCTGCCTTTCAAGTACACAAATCTTTTCCAAAAATTACTAGCTCTGGACAGATTTTTAATCAGTGTGTATCACAAGTATTAAAAGTATAACTGGGTTCGCCGGTGCCGCGGCTCACTAGGCTAATCCTCCACCTTGTGGCGCTGGCACACGGGGTTCTAGTCCTGGTCAGGGCACCGGATTCTGTCCCGGTTGCCCCTCTTCCAGGCCAGCTCTCTGCTGTGGCCAGGGAGTGCAGTGGAGGATGGCCCAAGTGCTTGGGCCCTGCACCCCATGGGAGACCAGGATAAGTACCTGGCTCCTGCCATCGGTTCAGCAGTAGCCATTGGAGGTGAACCAATGGCAAAGGAAGACCTTTCTCTGTCTCTCTCTCTCACTGTCCACTCTGCCTGTCAAAAAAAAAATTAAAAAAAAAAAATTATAACTGGGTAGTAGGGCACACTTAGCCAGGTGCTTACTATATATGACCCCCTGGGTTAGCATGAATCTGTCAGGTCTTAAGGCAAATTATCTATTAGAACTGTCCCATCACTGTAAATGATTGTTAAATTGCCTCAAAGAAACAAATAAATTACAACCAACTTGGTGCACATTAAACAAGTTATATAATATATACAAATACATATAAATAGTGTCAGATACAAACTAAACATTGCATTCAAAGAGAGTCAGAAACCTTGTGCATAACCATGGGCTGTAAGAATCTGTGCTACAGGTCAGATGCAGTGTATATATTTATATCTCTAGTATATGTTAGATACAGGACAGGACATGGGAAAGTTTTAAGTTTAAATGTTATACATTAACATTTGAAGATGTTATTTTCTAACAAGCTGCTATCCTCGAAGATATTAAAAGCATCTTAATAAGAACCAAAGAAAGAGGAAATGGGGGGAAAAAGTCCAAGAAGGAAGTATTTTAAGTAATATTGTATAATGCAAGTGGCCTTCCTTATGGTTTTCCCATGAAGAAGGAGGTTTGTTGCCCTGTAAGTCCTCTACTGTTGAGCCCCATCTGAGTCTTCCTCCCTGTGAACAGAGCCTTTCAGCATGTGATGACCCAGTGCCACTAGCCAGGGGCAGGGGCAGATGTGCGTGCTGGGGACTGTGTCTGTCTCAGGAAGTCTTGCTGGCACCATGCCCAACAGAGACCCGGTGCCCTTGCAGCTCCTGGGAAACCTCCCTTCTGGAAAGCAGTTCCCCTCCGAGGATGACATCTGATCAACAAGCTTTTGTCTTTGTTTTCATACAAATGTGACATTTCCAAGAGCTATGGTAATTAATTAATTTCCTTCCCAGGGGGAACCCAAGCCAAATGTACATTTTCCTCTGAATAGGATCAGTTCCTTGGACATTTGAGCTCCTTGTGAATGACTATGTGGACAGCAGACCAGGCACATGGACAGGAGGTGGGGTCTTGCACAGAGGCAGGGTCTCAGGCCCCTCCTTGGACCTTGCATTTTAACAGATACCACCCCCTCCCCACCTGCCTTGAGATGCAGATGGATTTAAGAGTTTGAGTAGCAGTGTTCTGGGCTTCTCCGTAAGGTTCACAAAAGAATGGGGTCCTGAACGTTCCAGTCTAGGACTTCTCAGGCATTGAGATGGCCTTTGGCATATTCTTACATTTCACCACTTGCTATTGGCAACAGCTGGAAGAGCCCATTTTGGCAAAGATCCTCATGTTTTTGGCACTATACCAAAAAAGATTTTAAAAATAGCATTTTATACCAATGCTTAAAAACATGACATGTCTATTTATGATTTTGGTTCAGTTGCATTTCTAGTAGAACCATATATAGGAATCCAAAAGGTTCATGGAGAATTTGTACTGTCAATTCCACTTTTCCATAAACTTTTTGAATGCTCTTGTATAAAAAGTACATATTGAAATGGGCTACATAAATGGAAGATCACCACAACTACAAGCAATAACACTCTGAGAAATTTAATTTTACTAGCAGTGATATTTTAAATTAGATTTGATATTTTAAATATAAAATAAAAGGTCTAATCAATGATGTTTGAAGTAACATAGTTATTTTGCTTAATTTTTTTTTTTATTTGAGAGGGAAAGAAATAGGAGGAAAGAGAGAGAGATGGTTCCCATCTGGTTCATTCCCCAGATACCTCTAAATTCTGGGGCTGGGCCAGGATGAAGCCAAGAGCTGAAAATTCAATCCAGGTCCCCCATACAGGTAGCAGGAACCCAACTACTTGAGCCATCACTGCTGCCTCCCAGGGTCTGCCTTAGCAGGAAGCTGGAGTCAAGAGCTAGATTCCGGCCTCGAACCCAGGAACTCCAGTGTGGGATTCAGGCATTTCTTCTTTCTGGCCAACTGCCTGCCCCTTGCTTTTTCTTTCTTTCTTTTTTTTTTTCTTCCTGGTGAACAAGCTATTGTTTTTATTTTTTCTTTACCATAAAAAAAAAAAAAAAAGCTACTAGTTAGACCACACTCCTACCTTTATATCCTGTGGGTTGATATCAGGATTTGTTTGACACCTCAGAGGTCCCAGAGTTTGAATATGAAAAATATAGAGAAGAAACTCATCCCGCGCAGAGAACGGCCAGCCCACCTCCAGGACGGTGTCACTGATGGTGCTTGGTCCAATATTGTGCAGCTGCAAGCAAACGACACACTCTAAACTAGCACAGCACAAGAGAGGGAGATGACATCAAACTCCATTTACTCTGTATCCATTCTAAAAACATATTGCTGCCTTTAAGACTATGACTATGGCTGCGGAAAATAGGAAAGAATTTACACAGACAAGAGATCTAAAAGTATTGTGCGCAGGCATTTAGAGAACTCTTTAATTTGTGAAGTTCTTAGAGTGGATTTCCTAGTGAAGTCCATATTAACCATGTCTAATAACTGTCATATTTACTGTGAATGCATATTGAGAGTAGTACAAGAAATACAATTTTAATTATATGATTTTAAGACTTAGGGCTTTTTTCCCTTTACGTTGAATCTGCCTCCTCTTGCCTGACTACTGACTTGTCAATTGCAACCATATGCGATGCACTCTCTTTCACCCTCTGGAGAAATGGCCATCCATCAAGTGCCAAAGCTGGTCTGTGCTCCGCACAGTTCACTCTGAGTGCGCGCGACAAAGCTGGGCCCCTTCTGTTCTCATCAACAAATCTCAAGGAAAGAAAGGCCACATCTCATAAAGAGATGGACATTTTTCACACAAGAATCTCACATTCAGGGGACACAAAACAGCTTGCCCAAAACACTAACCGCATTTAAATTTATTGTAGTTTTTAAAAACTCACTTCAAAGTTGGCAGGGATCTTCTTTTTTTTTTTTTTTTTTCTCCCTACAGTTCTGGTAATTATAATGATCCATAAACCAATATATAATTGTTTTTGCTTATTAGGTGGCCTATTAATTCACATTTTCCAAAAGCATGACATTCCTGACATTATTTTGAGACATGACATTAATATGTAGGAAGCATTTGATGATTGCTTTCGGCATGACTGGTAATTACCCTAAACTTTTATGATCCACTGATGCTAAGATTAGAAGCAGGGTTGCCCTGGGAATGATTGAGTCCGATTTTTTTTCCAACTTTATAAAGTCTCAGTATTCTTGAGCAGGAACAGCACACACAAACTTTAATAAATTATTCGACAGTTTGTTTCCCCCCAGTGAGGTTCATAATCCCAGTGATTTGGGACTGTGTTATCGTTTTTGCTATCAGACGAGCTTAAGGCAAAGCTTTGATCCAGCTTTGGATGGGGCTTCCGAAACTGCACTGCAGGTTGGCAGATGGTGGAGGTTTTTCTGCGAACATGGCCCAGGAGTTGAGACTTCCTCTCTGTGGATGTAAACAGCTCATCAGTTTTGAAATGGTTTTATTGTTAACCCTAAAGAATGCTATTCATGTCCTTGGTAGCTTGAGTGAAGTCATAAGCAGAATTATTAGAAGGGTCCTATGAGTTGTGTAGGAAAGGAACAGAGAAATTAATCGAAAGATCTTCAAACACAAAATGCCTCGGACCTGATCCCTTCGAAATGAATAGGAATAACTGTGCTGTGCTGACAGCAGTGACTTTATTTTAAAAAAAATGAAAACGTCAACAATTACCAAACTCACCAATTACTATGTATTGGTTTCTAACTGAAAAATACAAGTGTTTCAGGAGATGTCAATAACGTTTCCCTATGCACAATTTAACATTTAAATTTGGAAAGGAACATTGGGTCTTTTTCATCTATTGCTGGTTTGCTTCTGGAAAATATTTTATTGATCAATGAACTATTTCAGGCTCATAATAAGTCATTCATTCCTAATTTTGATTATTTGAATGAAAGGTAAATTTATTCTTACGTGTCTACTGGCCCCCTATTTCACATACTATATATGCATTTTTTTGGCACAATACTGAGTAATTCATAAAATTTTCTGGCTGGACTTTCTGGTTGGTGACCTTCAGTTTAAGAGATGGGAGGGTTTTAAGGAAATCTGAAAATGTAGGAAGAAATGAAGTCTAGGGAGCTGGCCATTTTTTGCTTAGACTGTCTAAATACTAAAAAGACAGGAAATAAAAAACATTAAAAAAAGAACATAACAAGATAAACTGAGGAGCAAGTGACCATATCTGCAGTTACTTAACAGGAAACAGAAATCATTGCAATATGATACATAATCGCCAAAATCTAGCCGGCATATAAAGCTCAGAGCTTGGACTGGTGTCTTAAAACATATCATTTGGAGTTCAGTAGGGGACAGCATAGCAGTAATCCCCTAACACAGCTTCCACATGGACAATGGCTACCTCATAAATATGTTCCACCAGTGGTCCAACTTCCTCCTCTTTGCGAGGCTCCTCTTCAGGTTCCCAGTTATGAATGGGCAAGATGATCTGCGGAGGGTGGGAGACTCTGCAACAGAGAACGTTGTGTTAATTGCTGAGGATGGCCCATGTAAAGAATATTGTACTAGTCTGAACTGATGCTCAATTTATTTCAGAAGATGAGGCGACATGGAAAAAATGCTGGAAGTGATGCTGTTTTGCTAAAGCAAAATAATGAAAGTGATAGTGAAGGGTCTGAAACATCTGTTGCAGGCTCTAAATGACTGACCTCCAGAGCATTTCATCTCTTAGACACTAGGAGGCAGAACCGAGCCCACTCTTGAGACAAAAAATTGACCATGTATTATAAACGTATCCATCCATCTATCTGTGTGTGTGTGTGTGTGTGTGTGTATGCACGTGCATACGCGTAGGACTGCCTGTGGGTGTAGGAATGCATGTGGACAGGTTGTATAATCCCTGCTTTAAGATATGTCAAGAAATGGGACCTTTTTTGTGGAAAAATCTAGGATTCTGATGAGTTACATGTTCGATTGTGAAGAAATGAAGCTTCTGGTTGGACTTCAGAGTAGAAAAGTGACCCCTGTATATTCATTCTTCCTTCCTAGCCTTCTTTGGTTTCCCATTAACGCAGTCAACCCTTTCACAAGGCCAGATCCTGAGCCAAAACAAAATGAAGTGTAACTGAGTTCTAGACTTGTCTTATAGAGAGAAAGAGAGGGAGCAGGTAGGATATTAACCAAGTAGCTAGGATATTAACTTGACATATGAGTATTTTTCCCTTCAACTTATACCTAGAAAGTTAGAATTGGATGGATGACATATAATACATGACATTACTGCATAAGAAAAGCTGATTACAAATCAAACTGTCATATATATATAAACTCTTGAAATGGATAATTCTCAAAAAACAATGATTTCTATCAGTTTTTAGGTGAAAGTCATTTTGAAAAGGATTCCTATACCTTCAGCTAAAAGCAATTTCAGCAGAAAACATCTTTTTTGGGCAATCAGAGGCCTCACATGCCTTTTTAAGGGCATCTGATAAATACCACAGCCTCTGGCAACTTCAAACACTATTTTCCATCTCATCTCCTGGGTAATCTTTTTCTAAAGCAGACAGCAAAATTTATTAGGTTAAATTCTGACCCTAGGACAAGTAATTTAATGTCTACATGTCTCTATTTCTTCTTCTGGAAAACTATGATCACCTCTTCAGGTTGTATATTGCAAGTGATTGGAAAACATCTCACAAGCTTTTGGTCAGAGTTAACATGGCTGTGTTGTTTCCCAGAGGTGGGTGGGAAAAGTACATTTTAAAAACTGACAACCCAGGAATGTTGCTCACTTGCAAAGCCTTTGGCCTACATTTTGATGCGCAATTCTTCCATACAAAGGGCAAGGCACAACTTTGCTGGGCTGACATCTCTAAATTCTCTCCCTCCCTAGCTGCTTGTCATTCTGCCATGTTCCCTTTTTCCTCCTTGATTTGACTGCATGATGTTCAACTCAAATGCAGGGACTGATGCTGGTGGCCCATGAGAAGGGCATAGCATATGGCAGGTTGCTTTCATCACAGGAAGTCCAGAGGCCTTGGACTCCCAGTCCTGAGTGCTCGATGGCTGCATGACCCAAAGCTTTACTTAGTTCTCAGCCTGGCACCACAGCACTGAGCTGTGTTTTTTTGGTTTAACACAGAGAACACAGAACAAAGAGCTGAAAACATTTTCTTTGAAAAATTTTGTTCTTGTGATCATCAGTCCTTTAGGACTGGTCATAAATCCCCCAAGAGTACAGAATCATAAATCTTCAGACTTTAACAGATAGTATGGAGACAGTGTGTTCAAAACACTTCCTTTTACACACGAAAGGAAAACTGGTGAACAGGGAAACAGTGCGGAGCTTCCAGTGAGGGTTAGTGCTCAGGTTTGTAAGTACCATGTACTCTACTACTGATGTGTAATGGCATTCGGGGCCCCTAAACTCTGGTGATACTTAGTAAACACCGCTGAAACTTCCTGATGCGGATCTGTAACAAAAAATGAAATAGGAATCCATGAAAAAATTTCCAATCTGGCACGGGGCATGCCAAAATCATTCAAAAAGTATGACTCACAAAATGCAGTTACTGCCCCGTTGAAGACTTAGTCACATCTGGAGAATCCATGACAAAGAATGGCTCCCAACAAAATCAGCAAAATACTGTTCACCGAGTTCAAAGGGAGTGTCTTAGAAAGAAAGATGCATGGCCAGTGCCGCAGCTCACTAGGCTAATCCTCCGCCTGTGGTGCCGGCACACCGGGGTCTAGTGCCGGTCCAGGTCCAGATTCTGTCCCGGTTTCTCCTCTTCCAGTCCAGCTCTCTGCTGTAGCCCTGCATCTGCATGGGAGAGCAGGAGGAAGCACCTGGCTCCTGGCTTCAGGTTGATGGCACAGCAGCGTGCCGGCCGTAGCAGCCACTTGGGTGGTGAACCAATGGAAGGAAGACCTTACTCTGTCTCTCTCTCACTGTCTAACTCTGCCTGCCTGCTGTAAAAAAAAAAAAAAAAAAAAAAGGCAAGCAAAGAAGAACATGATCAACTGCTTTGCTCTGTGGGAAAACCCAGTGCAGTAATCTCAGATCCTTACTGAATAGTCTCCCATCCTAAGGCAAGGGTCATAGACCCTCGGGTTAGAAGATGGGGGTCCTGTCAATGCTAGCTAGCCACAGGCTTTAGGAAGGGAGTTTGGGGGAAGCAAGAGAGTCTTTTTTTTTTTTTTTTTTTTTTGACAGGCAGAGTGGACAGTGAGAGAGAGAGACAGAGAGAAAGGTCTTCCTTTGCCGTTGGTTCACCCTCCAATGGCCGCCGCGGCCAGCGCACTGCGGCTGGCGCACCGCGCTGATCCTATGGCAGGAGCCAGGTGCTTCTCCTGGTCTCCCATGGGGTGCAGGACCCAAGCACCTGGGCCGGGCCATCCTCCACTACACTCCCGGGCCACAGCAGAGAGCTGGCCTGGAAGAGGGGCAACCGGGACAGAATCCGGCGCCCTGACCGAGACTAGAACCTGGTGTCCCGGCGCCGCTAGGCAGAGGATTAGCCTAGTGAGCCGCGGTGCTGGCCAAGGGAGTCATTTTTTAAAAAAATGAACTTGATTTTGAGATAATTGTAGATTCACATGTAGTCATAAGAAATCACATAGAGATGCCAAGTACCTTCTAGTCAGTTTTCCCCAATGATAACATTTTACAAAACCAAAATGTGATATTGTATGTAATATTACAATAAGACTGCTGACATAGATAGTCAAGGTGCAGAATATTTCTATAACCCAAAAGTGAGCTACACTCACTTCCCTGTGCCCCATTCTGTCCTTAATTCTTAGCAACCATTAATCTCGTCTCCATTTCTATAACTGTTATTTCAGCAGTGTGTAATCTTTTTGGGGACTGACTTCGTACTCTGCATACTTCTCTGAGGATCCATCTAGTTTGTTGCATTTGTCAGTAGTTCATTCCTTTTGTTTTTGTTGTTGTTGCATGATATTCTGTGGTATGGATGTGAATGTTAATTAAGCATTCATCACTGAAGGAGGTCTGTGTTATTTTCGGGTTTTGGCTGTTGCAAATAAAGCCATTAGAAACATCATATATAGATTTTGTATCAACTTAAATTTTCATCTTTCTGGAATAAAGAGATTGAGCGTTCGGTAAGTTAAAAGTCTGTTTTATATCAGGAAGTTCAAATCTGAGGATTTGGCAGCATTGTGTGAACCCTATTTTCCTAACCTTGTTTCTACATCCTCTTAACCCTAAATCAACACCTCCCCTTTATCACATATTGGAGGAACGTTGGTTGCACCTGATGTAGATGGTATCCTATGAAGAGCTTGGTTGTTCATGATTGCAGTCTCTCTTAATACAAATCCTGATTCTTTTAGAAAGGCTGCCATTTTGCTATGCTGAATACATGTGGTGTTGCCTCTTATGGCCAAATTTACTTCTAATAGAAAATAAGGAACTATGCTAAAGTGATCATATGTATCAGAAAATGGCATGTAAATCTGTTTAAGGACAATTTTGATGTTGTCTAGCTTTGAAACTGATGAAACGATTCTTACTATTTTTGTCCACTCAAATAAATGAACCCACTTTAGCTTTTGAAAAACTTTGAAACAACAGAAAATAAAAATAAAATTGTGTAACGTAGTATGTCATAAGAACTTGAATAAATACAATTGACTCAAGGAGATTTTCCTAAAGACTGTACATGCAGAATTTTCAACATAGTAGCTGTTCTTTGCAGGATTAAATCTGGCAGTCAGTATTTTTGCTACATATTTGGAGGGAAGAGTTATATCCTGTAAAATGGCCAAAAAGAGCTTTAACACTGTCTTAGAGAATAAACTGTGGTCAATTGTTGAGCATTAATCTAGCAATTAAAATAATTGCACCCACATGAGAAACACCATTTTAATAATCTGTTTTGCTTATTGGCAAAAACAGATATTTCTTTCTTTTCTATTATGATGGCAGAAATACATTTCAAAATATGAATCTCATAAAATGAATATGTGAAAATATAAACAGAGTAAGCCCTTAGCTGCCATGAGCTGACTTACGTCTTATTGAATAAAAACATTTCCCAATTTTGAGTATGTTTTGGAGTTAAGAAACAGTTCCAACTTATTTTTGGTTAACAAAACTGTGATAAACCAAGCTTAAAGAAAGAAACAAAAGCGTATGCACATTTAGTTGCAAATTTTAAAAACATTTAAAAATAAGATGATGAAAAAAAATGCTGTGTTTTCTTCTTCAGTTTTTTTTTTAAAGCAGTGTTTTTCTCATCAAGATAGAGATAGCGGAATGAAATTAGAAATCAATAAAAATAAAACATCTATATTAGCTCCAAAGATCTGTAAATCAAATAAGTCACTTACCCTGAGTCAACTTATGATTTAAAGTATAACCCACAAAGGAAATTAGAAGATATTTTGAACTGAGTCATAATGAAAACCCAACAGATCAACATTTGGGAATGCTGTTAAAACAACTATTAGAGAAAAATGTACATAAGGAAAGAAGGAG